AGGAATATACTTTAAATTCATAGGATTTCAGCCCAATTGAACCAAATGAGATATTCAGAATCTTTCCATCTGCGTTACTTGTTTTTTTTTTTCAAACATGACCGAAGTGATTTTAGATGAAATATAGAATCGAAGATTCAAGTCATTTACAATCTACGACTATCGATCATATTATCAAACAACTCGAGTTACACAAGTCTCAAACTGATGCATGTCAACAAGTCAATTCATTATCCTTCCAGTGTATTCACTCTTTAATACCATAGTGCAGATCCATAGATCATCCCCATAATCATCACTGAATAAATCTTCCAACGGTCTTTATTTCATTTCCACGTTTCAACAATATCAGGAAATACTGACGTACTTGATCCATGGCTCATAACCCATAATGACAATTCATCATGTAAGTTCAACAGTGTTTCCAAACTCATCAAATCACCTATTTAATCCTTACTCATTGATGTTACTTAGTTCGTTTGGTAAGCAAGTCTATCTCGATTACTTTAAAGTTTTCCAGAATAATTCAGACGTTTCTGAATTTCAAATACACGTTGTACTACATTTCATTTCAATTTATTCATATAATAAAGTCATTCTGGTATTCGTGGTTGATTTGACTAACGACTACTCACTTATTAGTACTGTATGCGCTCTAGAGTTGAGCTGCGCCAAGTACTTCCAGAATTATCATCGATCCAAATTTGAGCTGATGAACAAACATTCAAGTGATACTTATATCATTCAGGTAATGATATAGTACTAACGTTGGTTAATCACTTAAGTTGCGTTTCACAACTTTTACTGGTAGCACAACATCCATGTTTATTTGGATTTCTTAATTAATCCAAGACATTTATTTATTCTAGGTCATAAGGGCATTTTGGTCATTTTGGTGCTTAACATTTTTTTCTATTCATTTCAAAGCTTGAGTATATCCATTCATTCCTGAGCTTGGTGACATTCTTGAGTTATTTCCATTCCAGGGGTAATTTGGTCATTTTATAATTCTAGAATATTTCAATCATTTCCTTCCATCCGGTCTTATTATTTAATTCAATCTTATCATTTACTTCAGTCCTTTCGAACAATTCTGTCAGCAGAATACCTCCAATAAATTACTCTTCAAGTATTACCCCTTATTCGAATATTTTCGGGTCAAGTGTCTTCTCAGATTTTACAAACGGAATATTATAAATTTTTCTGTACAAAGACAGGATCTTAACAATTAAATTCGTACTTAATCGAGTTAAGTACAAATCCTCAAAGTACTCTCTCATTCAGGGTCAATTCAGACTATTTTATCTCTCAAGGGCATTTTCGTAATTTCTTAACCAAATAATTTCAATATTAGCACTTAACGAAAATAATTATAATTTAGAGATCCTATGATCAATTGCTTTCCCGAACATTCTTTGATTTTGAAATGATTCCTTCACAAACTCTCATAGGATTAAAACCGGTTATCCATAATTTCCAAATAAAACTAACATTTCTTATGCACATCAGTAGTTATATCGGATCAATATGTCTTTTCAGAGTTATTAACCAACTTCCAGGGGCAATTCTTATCATTTTCCAACATAAGGGTAATTTCGTAATTTTACCATATCGGAGTATTCTCATAATTTTTCATCCAAGTATCTTTAACATTTAACCCTTGATGATATAAAATATAAGTTACAAATCCAGAGCTGATTTCTTTATCACCAATCACAAACTTGTAATTTAATTCTAACAATTATCAATCTCTTATCTTAGTCATTCGATCCGTATTCAGTTACAGAATTTCTACCACATTCATATCGAGTGAATAAATTATTCAACTCCACAAAAGTGACCAACATTATCTTATTCATGCATTTACCAATATCAACATGTTCCATAAAGCATAAAGAGGTAGTAAAGTATTACCTCGATTTCCGTGTAATACTGATCGACCATAAAAATTCCATTCGAACGCCTTTGATCTTCAATTCAACTTCCAATAATTCCTCAGATACATATCAGCATAAATTATATCAGAAACGGAGCTTAATTACGATAAACGGATCGAATCGGGTGATAAATCAGTGAAAGACGGCTTACCGGGTTTGAATTTGGCGAAACGGACTTCGGATTCAGGACGTCGAAAGCATAAAATATGACTTTTCGAAAATTTGGAATTTTTGGTCAAAATCAAAGTCAACGGGTTTGAGTGACAATTACGAGGCCTTCGGGTTCGAATTTCGAAAAACGGACAGCGGAATCGGATTTGGAACATCGAAAAATGTCAGGATAGGTATACTCGGTCGAAGTCAAAGGTCGTTTAATGCCCGATCAAAGCCGGTCAAAGTTTTGGTCAACAGTGGTCAACTCCGGTCAATGGTCAACGGGTCAACGGTCAACGGGTCGGGTCAACGGGTCGGGTCGGGTCAACGGGTCAGGTAAACGGGTCGGGTCAACGGGTCGGGTCAACGGGTCGGGTCGGGTTGTGACCGGTCAAACCGGTCAAAACAGTTCCAAAACCGGTCAAACCGGTCACTTTTTCCTTCCCCACGCGCAGTGGCGGCGCGTGGGGGCGCGTGAACAGTGATAAAATCCCGGAAAAATTTCTAAAAATTATTTTGAGCGATTTCGAGATACTTACAAAGCTCGGTTCACAATTTTGAACGGCGGAGAGCTCGATTTCAACAAATCGGGAAGTTTGACCGGTTCACCTCCCAACGCGCCGCCGCCGCCGGAGAAAAAGAAGAACACCGGTGGACTCGGAACGGCACAAGGAACACGATGGTGCGGGAGGTGTCGTAAACAGATGACCCGATCGTCGTGAATCGATGAAAAACCAACTAAAACCGAGTTATTACCGACGATACTTCCAACTGAAATTCACGACGAACGGTGATGATTCACGACGAAAGGTTTGAGGGGTTTTGTTCCTCGGTTGGCAACGAACACGATGGTGGTTTCGGCTCGTCGATCGGAGGTCGGACGGCGAGTAGATCGGAGTTCGAAGTAAGGAGAACGGGAGAGGAAAACTGGAAAATTTTCCAGAAACATACGGGATTCTGGGGGTTTATAATATCTCATAATTAAAAATGGCTAAACCAAGAGTTTAGCCATTGAACTTCCTGCACTTCTTAAAACGGTCTGTCAACTTTGAAATCTTACAATTTAATCCCTTATTTCTTTCAAAATACCAAATTAAATCCACCAATTTATATTTTCTTAAATTTAGCCCCTAAATTGGGGTGTTACATAATTTAATCCCCAAAATAGAAAATAAGCAATAGATTAGTGACTATTGATATAGTTTACCCAATTTTATTTATATTCTTTCAATTTTTATGATTTACTCCAAATTTCTTCTGAACCTCTCTCATCAAAGGAAATATCAGAGGTAAATTTGGTTGGCCTAAAGTTGAGTGTTGGGATGCAGCAAGTGGCAACTCTCATATCTACAACTAAGGATGCGGTGGCAGTAGACACTGGCAGGCGACATCATTGTCAAATTATCATTCCTTGCCCATTTGTGATTTTTGTACTGTACGACACGTGTCTTAGATGCTACAGGACTTAACTGCATTCATTCAAATTTCTCCAAACTCAGCCGCTCACTCAACCAGCAGTCAGCACTGCAGTTTAATACGTGTTACCTTGTTCATTTTCCAACGCTTTTCTTGGTTGGCTGTTCTTTTTTCCAGGCCTCCCTTGAACTTCTGTATTTCTTCAACCCCAAACCTGGATCCTTAGCTATGTCAGGTCTGTATAATCACCGCTTCTCCCCTGTCAGAACTGCTTCTCCACATATTAGAAACACCCCTGACATTGATAGGTAAATCATCTCAATTATCTCTATGGTAACAATACAATATTTATGGTTTATATAACATCTGATCGGGTTTTGGATTCTTATCAGAGCTGTTGGCGGAGCATCAAAAGCTTAGTCCTTTCTTGCAAATCCTTCCAACATGTAGCCGATTGCTAAGTCAAGGTTACATCTTTACTCTCTCTCATGCTTGGATCTGTTTTCCTTTCTTTATTTTTAACTACTCTTGTTAGATCAGTGTGATTGAGCTGATGAGATGTTCGGGTGTGCTTACTTTTCTATTACCTTGTGTTGGTCTTGGCTTGATCATGTACTCAACCCAATGTTTGTTCGTTAGCTATGTGCTGTAATAATAAAACTTTGACATCTCCCACCACACCATTGTGTCTTGGATAGTGCCTCAACACCGGAATTAATAGTTTAAAACTGTCACTGCTTGGTGTTTGTCTAAGATTTTATAGGATAAAAATGCCGTCATCTTCAGCTGGCAAACATTCTCGACTACATATTAAAAGCCTCAGGTCTACCCGGGTTATGGTGTGCTTTTCTTTTCCCTTTTGATTCAAGTGGCTATATATCTGTCACAGATGCATTCAATTTCAAAGAGCTTCTTAAGTTTTTAATTCCGAAAGCTTATTTATTGCATTTCAAGTTTTACTTACCTCTCTCGAGAAGAAAGTATGATTATGAGAAGCTAGCTTAGAAAAGAAGTGGCATTGTGACTGGAAATTCAGTTATCTCGGTGAAAGTCTCACCCCCAAAAAAGCCCTGCTTGATAGCTTTGGTAAATTTGAATTCATAATATCTTTTGATGCTTAATCTGAGTGCAAGGATATTGAGTTGACCACCTTTGATTAGTTGGGATAAGAAATAATTTATCTGAAGCTGTGCATTTTCTTTGTTTAGCTTCAAACATAAGTTTATATGATGCTTTAAAGCTCCATGTTCTTGCTTTGTAAGGTTTTCCTTTAATTGTTCAATTAATGGGGATTTGTTTTATTTTACTTGTGGTTAATGTTCTATTTCTATCCGTACTTTACAACCTTCATTATCCGTTGTGGTCCTTTTATGTCTTTCTAATTTGATTTTCAGTGCTATACTGCTTTCATGCATTGATATGGTTTTATGGCTTCATCTGTTGTTTTATATATAATGGTCTTCATATGCAGAGATATTTCAGGTCTCTGGATGAGGCGTAGAAGCCCCCAGTCCTATGGCTTCTTCAAACATTATGTCAAACATTTCTGGTACTGGATTAGGCAGTTGGAATAGTCTTCCTCAAGAGGTATTGTTTATATTCTTTGTTGGTTAATTGAATGCTTTCTTTTATTTGCACAATATTAATGTCATGCCAGCATATAAGTTCACAATTTGGTACAATTTTATGCTTTTTGTTCTTTGAATGCTTTAAGAGTGTTTCTGGTAAATACCCTTACAATTTGAGTGTCTAAAAATCAGAAAGGATAAGCATAACGTGCTGAAGTCTTTCTGTTTCCTGAAATTATAAAGATCACAAACAAAAAAAAGTTTGAAGTGGTTTCTCTTGCTTTAGTAGTAAGAAAAATGAGCTTTAAAATCATTTCCTACACTGATTATATTCTGCTTAAAAATGCAGATCGTGTCAGAGATTATGAGTTTAGTTTAGCTCTACTTCCTTCTATACTTATTGCGTTCTGTAAGATTCATATTGCCAGAGCAAACATTATATGTACCATTCCTCTACATTTGACCCATTTCGATATGTTTGGTGCATGCATAGTCATATGTATTAGTGCAAATAATATGTTTCTTCTCTTTTTGGCTCTGGTTTCCAAGTTCAATTCAATAAACAAGGAAAATAGCCAAATTATCACTAGAAAGCCTTTTCAAATGGTGAATATATGAGTTTCTTATTAACCCTCTTGGTCTCTGATTGATGACACTAAACACAAAGGTTATTTAGTCTCCAATAGTTTGCTTGACAATGGATTATCTTACGTAACTCAGATGAGAACTAAGTTTATTCCTGTCCAAAATCCATTGGTTGCCAACAATGCCAAGTTAAATGTACTCGGACTGCAGAAGGCTTTGGTCAATATAATGACTATCTACAAGGTTCTTAACCTTGAGGTCGTGGGATCGAGTCCCACGGAGGGCATTTCATAATTCGGAGGTCTCTTACGGAAGCTGCTCTCAACCTGGTGTTGGGGGTAGCCTACTATCTTACCTCCCCCTTACCCCATACATATAGGAAAAAGGGACAGCCATTTTATCAGTTCATTTTTAGTTGCTGAGATGTATAACTTTTAACTTCCTTTATTTATCACTTTGTATTTCAAGCTGTTAACGTAACATATTGAATCTATTTTGTCACATGTTAGTACCTGATCTTTAATGAAGCATTGGGAAAATATTATATTGGAAAATCAAGTTAGTGTGAAGGAGGGTTATTTCAAGCTAAAACTTATTATCAATTTACATGCTACTCTCAGTCATTTGGATTGCGCCTTCTGATCTTTTGTGGTACTCTTGCCTTTTGAATTTTGACAGAGACTAAGTAGAACTCCTGGGATGCCGATGGACTGGCAAGGTGCACCAGCAAGCCCTAGTTCATACACTGTTAAGAGGATCTCGCGTCTTGAAATTCCTGTCAATACATATCCAAATGTAAGCTTTATATGGAACTGGTAGTACATTAGATTAAAACTTAGTCATTAATTATATTATAATAATTCAATTGAATGGAACATATGTTTTTATGAGTATTGATGACTAGACTCTGATTTTTGTACTTTGTTACTCTAGTTCAATTTTGTTGGACGACTTCTAGGGCCTAGAGGCAATTCATTGAAGCGGGTAGAAGCTACTACTGGTTGCCGTGTATACGTCAGAGGCAAAGGATCAATAAAGGATCCAGACAAGGTAAAGCTAGAAAAGTACTCTTGTTGCTGTAAAGTTCTGATAATGTTTGCTATACCTCAATTGAAATTCAGCTGAAGTTGACAAGAAGATCAGATGCAAGGAATTTCTGGTTGATAAAGCCAAAGCACCCCCGCCCCCAAATCCATTTTTTCTCTTTTATTTTCTTTCAACATAAAAATCAGACGGTTTTGGATAATAATTTGCCATCTTTAGGAAGAGCAGCTCAGAGGTAGACCTGGCTATGAGCACCTGAATGAGCCACTCCACATCTTAATTGAAGATGATTTACCGGCTAATGTTGTCGATATAAGGCTTAGGCAGGCTCAAGAAATCGTGGAAGAATTACTGAAACCTGGGGTATGTGTTGCTATCTTGTTCTCCTATTTTTGTTAGCTATAGCCATAGGTTGCTCTCATAAATAATTACATCTTGAAAACTCCATTATTTATCATGAAATCGCCTGTGAAAATATTTGGCTTCCTCGTGGTTACGCTGCAGAACCATTTTCCTTCTTTCCTTTTTCTCTAAACTTGATATTCTCATATGTAGGATGAGTCCTGGTCCAAGCGGTAGTATTTCGCCTTTTAATTGCAGTGGAATGAAAGGTCCCAAAATAGGACGCTTAGAGTTTTAGCATTATTATATCATCCGAGTTGCTTTTAAATCTAAGCCAAATGTACCTTTTAATCCATTGTACATCAGTTCAGCACAACTTGAAACAATTAGGCTAACAATGATTTCTGGGGATCTTTGTAATTGTCTGTTCAGTGTTAAAATGTTGTTGTGTTTTGAATAGAAGAGAAATAGAAGAGTTATAGAGTTGGTTCTTGCATTTTAGGTTTGGAGAGGTCAGATTTACTGTAAACTCAATACATCCATTGGATTCATTCTTGTGTTAAAAGCTATATAATGTGTGTGCAATAATGATTATATATAATGATGTCTTTGTGTTATAAGAATGTAAGCTTCTTGTTTTCTGGGGGGCTCTCTTAATGGCTAGATAGAGCATGGAATTTGCATCTTTTGTTAAAGATGGTGAAGTTGGAGACCAAATTATGCTTGTCATCGTCTTCTAGGAAAGAACCTTATAAATTTGTGGACTAAGTTTATCGTTTTTGGTCTTGAGTTAGGGCCCAAGAGTTTTGGTGGTTGGTTATGGGTGTTGTGTAAATTAGAAATTTAGGGGACTAAAAGTGTAGTTTACCTATGGTTAATTTTGTAAGCTGAAAACCCTGCCATATATTATGATTTTACGTGAACGACTCCCCCTTTTCTTCTCACCAAATGATTTTCTTCTTTCTTCCATAATTTTTTTCTTCTCTTTTCCATTCCAAGTGAGAGTTCATGCATTTTAAGTCCAGTGTGGTGAAACCAAGGTGAGAATGTCAATCTTCACCCTCCAAACTTTGTTTTAAGTTCCATTTCATTAGTTAGAGAAATTTGTGAGAATCTATGGATTCTAGGTAAGTTTTTGAGTTATAGGAGTTTGTTTTGATGTTATTAAACCCCTAGATGGATTGGTAATCCATTTTCTCATTTTGTTTAGTGAAATAGATAGGAGAAAGCTCAAGAGCTAAAGGAAAAGAAAGGTTGAATCTTGAATGAGTTGAGAAAGTTTATAGCCATCAAAGGAGCAAGGTAACGCCTTTATAACTCTTCTATACTTTTAGTAAGTCATTAGAAGTTCAAGATAGTTTAAATGTTTGAGTTGAGCATGATAAGCATTTTTATGGTGAAATTCTTGATTTAGAGTTATAAATGTGTTTAAAGCCTCTATTATGACCCTTGTTGATCAAATAAAACTTTAAGCATGTTTGGGGACCTCACTAAGGTCTTTGGGATTGAAAAAATAGATTTTTTCGTACTTGTTTTATGACTTCTACAAGTAGAGTATCGATACTGTAGGGATAATATCGATACTTGTTCTTCATTTCTAGGTAGAAGTGTCAAAACTCTTTCAAGAGTATTGAAACTTTGGGTTATAGTTTAAAAACTCTCAGAAATTTTCGAAACTGAGCAGAACAGAATGTTTAAAAGTATCGGTATTTATATAAAGTATCGACATTTTTGTAGGAATATTTATACTCTTAGGCTAGCATCAATACTTCCAGTCTATTTTGGGCAAAAAATGTTAGTTTTTAAGGGAATTAGAATCGAGGTACCCAACACTTCATTTTATCATCAAATAAGACTACAAGTGAGAATATTAATGATATTAATATTACACTTAGAAACAAGATCAATTAGGATGCCACAAAAATAATCTTTGATGATGCTCGGGAAACGATCAAGACACCCGAGTTCCTTTAGAACATGTTAACATTATTGAAAGTACAAATTCAGTCCAGATATATCCTTAGGTAATGCGTGAGGCACTTAAAGCTAACTAGATTGGGCGTAAGGTCTGACACTCAAGGAGTGTGCTAGTCAAGGGGGTTGACCGATACAAAGATTCTGAGCAACCAGTCTCGGTAGACTAGATGAGTGTGTGAGCTCCGAGATGTAGAACCCTCAGTTGCACCATGATGTCTACCATAAAGTATAGAGTGCAGTATACGAGTATACTCACTATTGCAATTATCAGTTAGCTTGAGCAAGATTGTCTTGAACACTTTTAGTATGACTTAGTTGTTAGTGTGACACTAGGCTAGTTAACTTAGCATTTAGAATTTGTTTCCTTATGTAGGTTAGTCCATGAGCTTTTTTATAGCAGTGATCTAGACCTAGACAGTGCATAGTATGTCTCGAATTCATCTTTAGAGAGCATGTATAATTGTAAATCCCAATTTGTATATTTTTGTATGAGTCATAGCTCATTTCAGACTATGATATGTATGATTTAAATATTATTTTAGAAACTCCTAATGTAAATTATTTTATTTAAATTGTAGTTGATTATTTTAGCATGCGTGGTTACAAATGGTCATTTTTAAAACGGAAAAATTTAAAAGAAAATTTTGGTTAGCCACTCCAGTGATTTCGTGTTGCACTCTGATCGGTCAACTGTGTGTCGTACTGGTTTAGGGTGTTACATTTAGTGCTATTATAACGTTAAGTTTAGATGTTCCTAAGAATTGTAGGTCAGAGTTAGTAAAAGTTTATGAGTATACATGCATTTATAGATGTGAAGAATACTTCTGCTTTTGATATAGTGATGGAAACTCCTCTTATTGATTAAATTTTCAGAGTTTATTTATGGATGAGAGTCTATATCATAGTTAGGAGGGTAAGGACGAGAGTATAGCTTTCATCGCGGGCAATATCAATGATGATTTCATTATCGAGACAGATTTTGAGGAGCCCAGGGATGTGGGAGTTGAGGAGGCAACTTTCTTTAGAAAGAAGACTGCTACCCTGAGGCGTATAGCCAGAGCCATACCTAGGAATCCAGTAGCCTCACCTACCTAACCATCCCTACCTGTTATAGCACTGTAAGAATCCTCTGTTGAGAGACTCAGGAGGTATCAGACCACATACTTTCATGGATCATGAGACGATGACCCAGTAGTGTTTGATCAGTGGTTGAGGGAGACTTAGAGGACCCTTCGTCAGCTACACCTCACTCTTAAGGGTATGGTCGAGTGTGTCACCTCCTTGCTGAAGGGTGGCTCAATAGATTGGTAGGATACAGTCGAAATGTCCATAGAGCCTGAGTGACCTACTTGGGAGCAGTTTTTTGTGGAGTTTTACTAGAAGTATATAGGTGAGGCTCACATGGATGATCTTAGAGATTAATTTTTACAGTTGAAGCAAGGAGACTGTTCTGTGTTTGAGTACGAGGCAGAGTTTTTTTGACTCAATCGGTACGTGCCAATGCTAGTATTGTCAGAACACTTTCGATGTAGGGAGTTCAGGGAAGGCCTCTGCCAGAATATCCTCACCTATCTATCCACCAATCCCCCTAGCGATTTATCGAGTTGGTCCACCAGGCCAACACCTTAGAGAGGGTGCTAGGGAGGGGAACTACAGTTACGAGTTCTACTCCTGAGCAGGTCAATGGAGCTGCTGAGTTATCAAAACCATCACAGTCATCCAAGATAGCATGAGACTCTTAGGGTTCTTAGAGAACTTCACAGGGCCAGTATAGTAGACCAGTTTATCAAACAAGGAAAAGAGGTGGTAGATCTTATCAACGCAGGATACCTTTGGCCACTACCTCATTAGTGAGCTCAGGAGGTTCGTTGAGGGCACAATCTCAGCCTATCTATTTAATTTACGGTCGGAGGCATACTGTCAAGGGTCCCGAGGTTACTATAGATGAGGTTGTTGGGACCATTTTATCAGAGAGTACCTAGAGGTTAGTGATGTGGTACCAACTTTGACGCAGAGGTTAGCCCCATCAATTTAAAGGGGTAGAGGCTTCCATAGGTGTAGTAGCTAAGCATCCGACCACACCGGTATGGGTGCGAGCCAATATAGAGCCCATATTTGATGTTCAGTATGTAGTCTGAGCCCATGAGGATTACGACATCATTGACGTGATTTCAAATACCTTTAAAATGTTTTCTCTTCCAATTACTATATTAATTGACCCATGATCCAACCATTCCTATATATGTTATGACCTAGTTTAAGAGAGAAATATTCTAACTAAGAACCTCAATATATGATTCAGAGTATCTAGTCCTTTAGGATTATATGTCCTAGTCAATAAGGTCCATCGTAGATTCTTTGCTAAGATTTAAGGTGAAACTTTTTCGGTTGATTTAGGATATATATAGGGTTTAAGCTTAGGGTTTAGGGTTTGATTTGATTTAATTTTGGGTATGGATTGGCTATCAGAGCACGATGTGAGTTTTAGGTGTAAGCTTCGACGGCTTAAGCTCAGGAAAGATGATGGTATTAGGATTGTGATGTTTGGCGAGAGACCAAGAGGTGCAAAGGTTATTTTGGCTCTTAAAGCTCAAAGGATGCCTGATCAGGGTTGTGAAGCCTTTTTGGCTCATATAGTTAACTCCAGGGAAGTAGTTCTACAGATTTAGGACATCTGAATCGTCAGAGATTTTCCAGATATTTTTCCTGAGGAGTTACCAGGGTTACCACTGGATTGAGAGTTAGAGTTTGGCACTAAGGTAATGTTAGGGTCCACTCCGGTGTCCATTACCCCTTATTGTATGACAACGACGAAACTAAAAGAGTTAAAGGTTTAAATTCAAGAGTTGCTAAAAAAAGGTTTCATCCAACCAAGTATCTCTCCATGGGGAGTGTCAATTCTCTTCGATAAGAAGAATGACGGGTCGATGAGGTTATGCATCGACTACCGACAGTTGAATAAAATGACCATCAAAATCATTGTCCCTTACCTAGAATCGATGGCCTCTTTGACCAGCTCATGAGAGCGCGTGTCTTCTCTAAAATAGACCTATGATCCGAGTACTACCAGTTGAAAGTTAAAGAAGCGGACATAG